CCCCAGCCCCACCCATCAACAAAAACAACCACCCCCCCCCCGGGGGGGGCGCCCCCCGTAGTCCTCACCCAAACATGCCCTCAAATTTGGCCAGTTTGTGGAGAACACCTTCGGTGGTATGCTTATGCAATAAAAACGTCGTTGGTTAAGTACTGACAGAGTTATTTTATAAAATCTTTCTAGTTTTTGATATAAATGTCACATTCAAATGATTCTAATGTAACTTTATAGAGAATTGTGTGTAGGTACAATTCCATGTAAAAACGTTGAAAAATGATATCTGTGAGCGTTGTTTAATTATTAATTAGTCCTAGTTAGCACTAATTAGTGGCATTCTACTGGACAAAATAAATTTTCCTAATGTAACAACAAATGGAAGCAAACCATGCGACGTATCATTCGATAGAACTTTCCGAGCTCTATCGATTGTCAGAGCCACTTTTTTAAGTTTTGTCTTTTTTGTCTGAAAAATCCGTTTTAAATCATTTTTGGTGAAATATTTGATTCCTAAGCGGTTTAAGAACTATGGTTTTAGAAACTATGGTTTTAGAGGTAGATCGTGATGCTGAATCTGATGGACTCACTTTTCAGAAATCTGTAAGGTTTCCAGGATGGGTCGCTGGAGACCAGGAGCTCCAGAGACCCTCTCAAAATCCTAAGATCCTGAAGTGATCACACGCAATAGAGAATCAAATTGTGAGCAGAATGAGATCAACCAGAGCCTTCTACGATCATATCCCGTGGAATTACAGTTAGAAAAACTGAAAAACTCGAGGCAATTCGACTTCACATCTGTGCTCGGCTCATCACGCCGCGAGATATGATCGCAGAGGGCTCTGGTTGATTTCATTCTGCTCACAATTTGATTCTCTATTGTGTGTGATCACTTCAGGGTCTTAGGATTTTGAGAGGGTCTCTGAAGATCCTGGTCTCCAGCGACCCATCTTGGAAACCTTACAGATTTCTGAAAGTGAGTCCATCGGATTCAGCATCACGTTCTACCCCTAAAACCATAGTTTCAGCTCTCGCTCATGAGAACTGACTCGTCTGGAACCCGATGATCTGAAGGATTTGGGCGAAAGTGCGGTCCTATTCGACGTAGGTCGAATATCTTTTGAACAAAAACAAATCTCGAAAAAGTGAACGTATAACTCTGTAGAGCTTTAAACGGCGAATCGAACGGTGTAAAACTTTTGGCTCTACGACCTCTCCAGGCGGAGTTGATGGATTTGCAAAAACAGTTGTCGCATTTTCGTCGCTATAGTTTCGGCCTTCCGCAAAAACCCATTCCTCGTCTCGGAGAACTGAAGACTACATGACTAGTTTCAGTTTTTGATGCTGAATCCGAATATCGAAATCGCAAATCTCTACGATCTTTCTCGGTGGAGTTATGGGCATTTTGCGAAAAACGGGTATTTTTGACCATTGCTCCGTATTTTGGAATTTTCTCGGTGAGGAAAGAGTTTTGGGAGCCGGGATGGTAATATTCGTGGTTGCCGTCCGATTCTCTATCGAATGGTGTATAAATCAACCAAATCTATTTTTTCACTACATCTTTGAATGAGTTGCATTTTAACATGTATATCGAAAACCAGAAAGGTTTTAAAAAATGCTTCTCAAACTAAATACTTCAATTAATTTTGAACTTAATTAATTAATAACTCTGTCAATACTTGACCAACGAGTTTTTTATTGGATAGACATATCACCGAAGGTGTTCTCTACAAACTGGCCACCTTTGAGGGCATGTTTGGGAGAGGACACCTCCTGTGAGGGTAGTTTAGAAGACGTCCTAACTTCCATATTTTCGTGGCTGGTAGGGACGTATGTGATATCATTGGTAACGGTGCGAGAAATGGTTCTGCTGCTGGTGGTGGTGGTGGTGACGCATCTTTTTTTGATTTCGAATATGAGTTTGTTGAAATTTGATGTCGTGAGAATGGAACATATCACGATATATTGTACGGATATATAGAAACAGATGAAATCTATTGTTGTGTGATCGTATCTTATAAAATATCGACGAAGAAATTTGAAACGGAAAATAGTACGGTCTCAAACGTTCGACATGTACTGCTTCAATTACGCGATTATCTGCTGAGGATATTATTTGATAATCTATTGGCGTAATTTTCTTTGTAATTTGGAATGCGCCGACCCAACACAGATCTAGCTTAGGAGCTTTTTAGATTACATTAAAAGAATAGTAACGAGCTTCGAGACCGTTACACCCATCCACCCCCTTAAAGCTTTTAGTTTAAACACGCTTCTGCATTCTCTTTTTGACAGTTGGTTACACAAGACTTTCACTCGAACATTTCTTAACGAAACTAACAGCTGTAGAACAAATAAATCTTTTCACTTCTCATAAGGACTCATCGGACAATTCACAGTTTCATTAAGCAACAGCATCTAGCTGCACCCACTTGAAGCTAGATTCTAACCTGCTGCAGCTGGATAGAGTTTTTGTGTATGTTAGCGCACACCACTCAAGCTAGATAAATGTACGTCATGGTAAGATGCAGCGCTCGCTTCGTGATTTGGTTTCGTGCTTCACAGAAATGTAAGAGTTTTCTTCTTCGTGATTGCTAATGAAAAATAATACTTTATTGTGGAAATTGTGGCGATATTCGACGTTGGTGAAGTATCCGAATGCTCGCTCTTTCTATTGATACATCTCAGTAATTATTTTCATTCTTAAGTCGATTTTAGAGAAAAGTGGACGATTCATGATCAGAAAGTTTAAAGAGAAATTGAACGACAAGGTCATGGAGGATCCTTATGAAAGAACTTGTTTCGACTACTGTGACTCTCCAGCTATCTCTCTCTCTCCACGCATTTTGTAGCCATTGAAAAGCTCTATCAACCAGTATTAGATGCACAATGCAAAATCAATCTTGTACCAAAATAGCATCTTTCTAGCTCTGTCTTTTCTTATTTTGATGAGAAATGATACTTGTGCCAGATTCAGCAGCGAAAGTTACCTTAAAGCTTTCGTCATAAATTCACCTGCCGAGCAACAGCAGATTTTGGTCATCTTGAGTTGAATTTTTGGAATGTCAGATTTTTCAGTGCTAACGCAGATTTGAACGAACTGTGAACTGCATAAGGAGAAGAGCGTACTTTAAAGTACTCAAAAATATCTTCAGTTTTGTTTCATTGTCTGTAGTCTTGTTTAAAATATTCCAAAACTTGTAAAACAAAATAGCTTAGAAAGTTGGTCCTTTCGTCATGTTGAATATTTTTCGTTTCATTTTTCTCCTCGACTTTTTATAGAAATAAGTTTCATCAAGTTTTGTAGAGAATTGACGGCGCATCTTTTGGATGAACGACCAGGTCTAAGGATTGGTCGTTCATCTCCAGGTCTAAGGATTTTTCCTATATTACCAGAATTAAATATCTGAGGCTGCAGTATAATTACAATCAAAAGACAAAACTTACGGGACAATATTTTTCTGCAACTTTTCCCGACCCCGTAAGCCCGAGCTCGTGAAATTCTTGCCCTAAGCCCATAAGTGTTTTTTGTCCTGACCTCGTCTGTCCCACAGAACGGGACAGACAGGATGAGATTCGGGGCTGCCCCGCAGGAGTCTAATGTTGATACTAACAACCGGTAATCGATGGCCGAAGATTTTGTTGTACTTTCATGGTACGCGGAAAACGAATAGTAAGTATAGGTTTTGTAGAACAACTAAATTTAATCAACATAAGTAATTAGGAGCAGAGCGTGCGTGAGTTCCGTCGGTATTGTTTCGTTTTCATTTGAGCGACCGACACTTGAGCGACACCGACATTTGAGCGACCCACATTTGAGCGACCGCATTTAGAAGGACTCCAACAACTGAGCGAAGCGCATCACTTATAGCTGCTCACCCTCACCCCCACTCATCCTTACCCCACACAGTCTCACCCTCTA